ATGTGATCTACTTTATCAACCCACACGCTCGGTCGTTTATAGTAGATAGTCTGTTGTCTGTCGTTAGTGATCGTGTTCAGCCCTGCAGAGAGCTAAGGAAGTCCTTAACATATAATGAAAGTGATGAAAATGTTTTTGGAAAAAAAGTGCCCTTTTCAGGCTAGGAATAATGGCAGATCCAGCTGGTAATAATGCCACCTCGAGATTGGTAATAGTGACATCTCCAGACTGTGGACAGTGCCAGGGCCCCCCCCCCCTCCTTCCCCGTCTCTAGGCTGACAAACCACACATCAGAAATAAAGAAACGAAGACGTTTCGATCCTTTCCTGGACCACTATCGTGTGATCACACGACTTCATAATGGTCCACGACGGACCGAAACGTCGTCGTCTCCTCGTCTTCTGGTGTGTACTTTGATCATCACTAAACGTAATGTCTGTTTTGTTTACGTTGATTCTTAAATATTAGGCTGTTTAAATATTTCTCTGAGGAGTTTAAACTTTATCTGTGCGCAAGAACATTCTCCAGCGACGAATTTTCCTTACCTCAAACACACAAAAAATGAGGTTTGTGTTTACAGCGACAAGTACAAGGCAGGAGTACTACCAAGTCAACACTAAATTACCCGCAGGAAACCTGAATCTAGATTTGTCAGTGAAACGGCTCCAGTAGAAGTTTTAATTGCGTTACCGTGGTCACTGAAGAATACTCTGGCTTGCCCAGAACGATGTTCGGAGTTATGACCCTACTCTTGCGTCAGATATAATCATCCCTCCACCTCTACTACCCCCCCCCCTCCCCCCACCTCCATCTTTAGTACCACCTCCACCATTATCCCCTCCACCTCTACTACCTTCTCCACTACCACCATCACCACCTCCACCTCTTCTACCTCCTCCATCACCACCATCACCATCTACTACCACCACCTTTACCACTATCTCCGCCAAAATCATCACCTCATCCACCATAACTACCTTCACCACCACCTAATCCATCACAACCATCTCAACCCACCAACTCCACCACTACCATCACCACCCCCCACCCTATTCTCTCCGCTACCTACCACTACCACCACCTCCCCCACCACGATCACCACCACCACTATCATCAACACCATTAATATCACCACACACTCACCACCCGTTAACGAGGTTGCTATGAGGCATCGCCAGCCATTCACCCCCAGGGTAAGTGTAATGGCTTGGTGCTTTTCCCCTAATAATTCCCTTCCCTTCGCCACGGTAGGTCTTCCTAAACCACAGTATCCATAGCTGCTGCGTTATCCAAGGCCCGGCTATTGCTATCCTAGCTGGCTTCTGCCTTATCAAAGCCCAGATATTGTTATAAACTGTTAGTTTACAAATGAATGTAATATCGACAGTAATAGGCTTTCAAATACCACGATAATTTACCTGCGGTGCTTCCAGCCACCGAGATATTTGGAACAACGGGGCCACCAAGACATTTGGAACAACAGGCCACCAAGACATTTGGAACAACGGGGCCACCGAGATATTTGGAACAACGGGGCCACCGAGACATTTGGAACAACGGGGCCACCGAGACATTTGGAACAACGGGCCACCGAGACATTTGGAACAACGGGGCCACCGAGACATTTGGAACAACGGGCCACCGAGACATTTGGAACAACGGGGCCACCGAGATATTTGGAACAACGGGCCACCAAGACATTTGGAACAACAGGGCCGCCGAGATATTTGGAACAACAGACCACCAAATCCCAACATAGCGAGACTAATGGTCAGGTAAACTACATAATAACTTTCATAACGGATTAGAACTTAAGAACTTTCTGAAATCCATGGTATACTAACTGCGGATACGTACACTGACATGTGCACCCAACTCGGTGTAAATACACTGAGAGTGTACTTTAGTCCTACACTATCCACAGGGCTAAAGTATACTTAAAGGCTGATCAATAAAACTATTGCGGTGGCCTTAATAACCCCTCCAGAGGTTATGACAAGCCTTCAGCCCAACACTAACAATGTTAACCAACCCGCTGTCACATTTCACGGTAACTTAACTCATTCGCTAGTTAATAACACAACTACAAACTAACAAATTTCATACTAAGAAGTATTTACTAAACAAACTACGCAATAATTAGCAGCCGTTAAGCTAACTCAAGCAGCGAAAACTGAGAACAATTAATCCCATGTTACGAGCGATAGCTGGAAATGTTAACCATTAGCAAAACAACGACGGTCTAATCAAGCCGTGGATAATGTGATTAGCTATGGCTACATGGCTGCAAGTACGCCAGCCAGGCGGCCAGCCAGCCAGCTAGCCAGTCAACCAGCCAACCAGCTAGCCAGCCAGTCAGCCAACCAGCCAGCCAGTCACCCAGTCAGCCAGCCAGCCAGCCAGCCAGCCAGCCAGCCAACCAACCAGCCAGCCAGCCAGCCAGCCAACCAGCCAACCAGTCAGCCAGTCAGCCAACCAGCCAGCCAGTCACCCAGTCAACCAACCAGCCAGCCAGCCAGCCAGCCAGCCAACCAGCCAGCCAACCAGCCAGCCAGCCAACCAGCCAACCAGTCAGCCAGCCAGCCAGTCAACCTTGTCTATGCTGGCGTTTTGTACCAAAGTAAAACAGTGATTTAGAGTTTAGACAGTGACTTGCTTGATCGTCTAGCAAGCCGCACTGAGATCCACAGCCCTCAAACAACTGCCCATCCTCAAACAAGATCTCTCCTTCAAACCACAACCGGCCCTCAAGCCACAACCAGCCCCCCTCTAACCACAACCGGCCCTCATTGTACAAAAGCTTTTCTATCCGGCTGTTCTATCCGGCGGATTATTCAACCCGCTCCACCAACCCCGTGGCATAAAGCACCAACCAGGCTACAGTTCCCATTAATAATAATCACAATAACAATATGTAAACAATGGAGTCATTAGCAACATCAACAACAATGATGGTGATTAGACGGACAATCCCGGTGACAGGTTACACAGACAATGATGGTGACGTTTGATAATAATGGTGATAGATTAGACGGACAAAGCTGTAGTCAGATTTTAACTGACAATGATGGTGTCAGATTAGACAAACATTGATAGTGTTATCACATTAGACAAAGATGGTGGTGACCGTGGACACTATATAGAAGCTCATCTTCCTGTGGTTGAGGGGGGAAACAAGGGTGTCAGGGTTTCTACGTCAGGCTCATCAGGGCTGACCTACGAGGACCTGGTAATTGGTCGCGCTTCTCAATTATAAATATACAACCGTTATGGCTCGAGACATAAATATTGAGAGCACGATCGGATTTTTCCTTGGCTCCGGAAATGATAAAGTTTGAGCCCTGGCTATCTTGGGATGATGGTTTTGATTTGGTCTGGCTACATGCAGACCCCTCCCCCCCTAAACAGTCTGAGACTTGCTGTAACTACTGTATTATGTCTAGTTTTAGTGAGGCGAGGGTAGTTTGTGTGTGTGTGTGTGTGTGTGTGTGTGTGGTGTGTGTGTGTGTGTGTGTGTGTGTGTGTGTGTGTGTGTGTGTGTGTGTGTGTGTGTGTGTGTGTGTGTGTGTGTGTGTGTGTAGACTTGGGTTGGGTGTTAAGGTCTTGTTGGCAATTATCTCTGTATGAGGCATTTACAGAGGTGAACTTTGAACATAATAAGTGAAACAGTTTTCGAGAAAAAAAGTACAAACGGAATGAGTTGTGAGACGAGTGTAAATTGTTTTTCACCCGTAGACGGCTGGTTATAAAAATGAGCATTTGACCTATGTTTATGAGGACGGGATGTGATCTGTGGCATGCAAAGGTCACTCGGGCTTCATGCCATATCACATGATCTCAGGCTTGGAATATACAGCAAGATGACAGAGCTCAAAGAGGCAACTGGAATGAACAAAAGGATTGCGATGTAGAATCGGATTTCAATCATAATTTCAACCAAATATTTATATGATTATAAAATAGGTAAGGATTCGTTGCATTAGGCAACCGGGTAGCGACTGGTAAGACAGGGTCTTACACATGTGCCCACACATACACACACACACACACACCTACATAAACCAGTTCCCTCCCCCCCCCCCTCCTCTAGTGGAGCTCCTCACACTGCTACTCATAGCACCTGTGTACTCTAGAACACTTCCCCCAGAGTGCATTATCTGGTTTCATTATCCATTTGCGGTGATTATGCGGTTTCATTATCCATCGCGCTCCAGTCCTCGGCTCACCAGCCACCCCCTTTTAGGCCGAATATGACTTTTGATCACGCTAACCTTATCCTTCTGGTAACTAGAATGCTGTAACCTGGTTCCCCTCGGTGTGGGGCTGTCAGGCTGTAGTGGAATGTCACTTTCGTCTGCGCTGTAGCCATCTTCAACCTGATTATTGCGGAACTTTTATGGCCAAAGAGTTTGGAAAGGTGGTGGGAGGACGGGGAGGTATTGAGAAGGAAATGCCGGTGTGTTACTAACATTATTATTATATTCTATGAACCTCGACCACGCAGTGGTAAGATCAGGGATTTGTATTCTTATACACACACACACACACACACACACACACACACACACACACACACACACACACACACACACACACATATATATATATATATATATATATATATATATATATATATATATATAAACGACAGGAGGTTTTAGATTTATGATTCTGGCACGAATCTTCTCGATATTTCTTGGTTTTTTTCTTCATTGAAGCAGGAAGTTGAAAAATTAGTTCTCTAAAGTTCATTTTTACACTTTTTTTTTAAGGGGGGTCTGACGCCCAATGATGTGTTTCGCAAGGTCACTAGTAGTCATCACTAGACTCATCACTAAGCGACAGACCTAAAAAAAAAAGTGCAAAACTGAACTTTAGAGAGTTAATTTTTCAACTTCCTGCTTCAGCGAAGAAAAACATAAGAAATATAAAAAATATTTGATGAGTAGACCATGAGTCTATGATGATGAGTCGATGAAGATGACAAGTGGAAAGCCAACATGTGGAAGGTTATGATGACGGCTTGGGTCAACTGGCTCAGCGATGTCATTGTTGATGTTCGCAAGCTTCCGAACATACCCAGGTATACATACCCAGGTATGTATACCTAGGTATGTATACCTGGACCCAAGTCCGGTTTATATACGAGATGTAAACAAGAGCGGCAAGTCTCTAATTTCTATTTTTTTCCCCATTTCCTCACGTCTGTTTTTTTTTTCTTTTAATAAGGAAGGGGGAGTTCTTATATATAGCCTTTGGGGAGAATTTGAGAGTATTTTTTTTTAAGTGTTTACGTGTGATCAAGGTTCACTTTGTGAGTTTACGGTAACTCTGGTAAATGCGATTTTGCGTCTGAGTTGTGGTATTGGTGTTGTAGAGCAGCGAAGGCAGTGGATCCTCGGCCAGTCAGTAGTCACAATATAACACACACACACACACACACACACACACACACACCACACACACAGGGGCCTGGTAGCCTGGTGGATAGCGCTCAGGACTCGTAATTCTGTGGCGCGGGTTCGATTCCCGCACCCGGCAGAAACAAATGGGCAAAGTTTCTTTCACCCTGAATGCCCCTGTTACCTAGCAGTAAATAGGTACCTGGGAGTTAGTCAGCTGTCACGGGCTGCTTTCTGGTGTGTGTGTGTGTGTGGTGTGGAAAAAAAGTAGTTAGTAAACAGTTGACAGTTGAGAGGCGGGCCGAAAGAGCAAAGCTCAACCCCCCAAACACAACTAGGTGAGTACACACACACACACACACACACACACACACACACACACACACACACACACACACACACACACACACACACACACACACACACAATCATTCACCAAGCCATAAACAGACGGAAAAGGCGAGTAGTTAATGCCCCCCCACCTACTCCGTGACGGGTGTATATAAAGATCTCGGGTGTTCAATCGTGTGTGTCCGCCGGATCCTGGACCCGTCCTCAGTCAAGACTGACCTCCGCCCAGATCACATCTTGATCTACACCGCCTCAGACGCCCTGCACCTTGTATTTCGTCTCGTCTAACGATTCCAATGTCTTATTATGATTTGTCTTTATTGCCATGCTCATAATGCATAAATTGAAAAGTGAATGAGAAATAAACACAGCACCAAGAGACGTACACCATACAGACGGATATACACACATTATACAGAGCGATATATATATATATATATATATATATATATATATATATATATATATATATATATATATATATATATATATATATATATATATATACTAAGTAGTTTTCCTGCGAAGTGCTCCGCTGATATATTATTTTGTGTATATGGCGTCACATTCAGACAATGTTTGTCAAAACTTTTTTTTTTTTTGAGTGATATTGGCCCGGACATATGGCCTTGAGAGCTGATAAGCTGTTGTTCCTTTAGCTGTCGAGGTGCTAAAGCTTTCGTGAGCCATCGTGAACGACAGACAGACTAGCTAATAAAAGTATACTTCATTATGACTCGTGGCTCGTGGCATACCTAAGCACAATGAGTGGCAGCATGAACCATTCATAGTCGTCATAACTCATCTGAACAATCTGAGAACACTCTTTGAGGTCCCTTGCTATAAATCTCTCTCATAACCTAGACGTCTTTCCCCATTTTGAGTCGTCCTGGCTTGGTCCGATAGCTGTCTGTTAATTTAGAACATTGAACACGGAGAGCGAATTAATGTCCCAAATTGCTCTAATGGATTTAAGTCTCTGAACTTGCACTGCTAGCGGCTTGATTGTTTTGCAATTATCCATATCTAAAACTTGTCTCAACTTTTGGAAACGTTTTAATTTAACCTGTCCCAGAGTAAGGTGGAGGTTCCATTCTTTAGCATGCTGATGGCTGCATTCTGCGATCTTCCTCACGCTTCATGTTCGTTATGATTCTGCTGTTTTGCTCTCTCTCTCTCTCTCTCTCTCTCTCTCTCTCTCTCTCTCTCTCTCTCCCTGGGTCTCTCTCTCTCTCTCTCTCTCTCTCTCTCTCTCTCTCTCTCTCTCTCTCTCTCTCTCTCTCTCTCTCTCTCTCTCTCTCTCTCTCTCTCTCTCTCTCTCTCTCTCTCTCTCTCTCTCTCTCTCTCTCTCTCTCTCTCTCTCTCTCTCTCTCTCTCTCTCTCTCTCTCTCTCTCTCTCTCTCTCTCTCTCTCTCTCTCTCTCTCTCTCTCTCTCTCTCTCTCTCTCTCTCTCTCTCTCTCTCTCTCTCTCTCTCTCTCTCTCTCTCTCTCTCCTCTTCTCATGAACTTGCGAGTCGTATACTCGCTCAACAAGTATTTGTCACGTATTGCAGAGCGAGTGTTGCTCCCACAGTTGATGCGTCAGTCGCTGTTTCAGGAACTGAAAGCAGCGCTGTCTCACTTTATAAGTATTGTCATCTTGAGGAATGGAGGTGTCACCCAGATAAGTAAAACACCTTTGATCTTCACCTTTGTCCTTTTCGACAGAGTAACGTAGTGTAAGAAATAACCTTTTTCTACACAAAAAAATATTTGTTGTCATTAAGTCGACGTTTGTGTCACTGTTAGTGGGTAAAAGTTATTGTTTGTGTCGTGAGACTTAGTTTGTCGTCCACCAGTGTTGTTTGACCTCTGACACTGTAGTAATTCCAAAGAGTCATGACGAATGGTTTGACATATGTCAGTCATGACACATATTTTGTCCTCAATATTTTGACCCATGGCTTGTCATCAGTGTCATGACCCATGTCATGTCATAAGTCGGTGGCATGACCCCATGTAGAGCAGCGGCCGGTAAGGTGAGATCCTACCTGACTCCTCCACGCTGGCTGTCAGGATCGAGAGAGCCACGACGCCGCCTTCTCGGTCTGGCGTTCGAGTCCTTGTGTCACTCTGACTAACTCACACTTTCTAAATGTTTCTTGATCTCGTCCAGAATACAGAACGACACTACCATCAGTGTCGGCCAGTACCTTGACACTGTCACTGGTCACTCCCAGTAAGTTGACTTCCATTAAGTTGACTCACAGTGAGTTGACTCACAGTGAGTTGGTCCAGTAAGTTGACTCACAGTGAGTTGGTCCAGTAAGTTGACTCACAGTGAGTTGGTCCAGTAAGTTGACTCACAGTGAGTTGGTCCAGTAAGTTGACTCACAGTAAGTTGACTCACAGTGAGTTGACTCACAGTAAGTTGAATTACAGTAAGTTGACTTGCAGTTAGTTAGCTCACAATAAGTTAGCTCACAGTAAGTTAGCTCGCAGTAAGTTAGCTCGCAATAAGTTAGCTCGCAGTAAGTTAAGTTGCTCGTAAGTTAAATTACTGAATAGTTGACTCACTGGAAGTTTGCATATTCGATAATATATACTCTGTAATGCAAACCTCGGCTCCAAAGCACATCACTGGGTACCGAAACTAGAGGTAGCCCCATAACACTGTAGAAATAGCCCCATAACACTGTAGAAACAGCCCCATAACACTGTAGAAATAGCCCCATAACACTGTAGAAACAGCCCCATAACACCGTAGAAACAGCCCCATAACACCGTAGAAACAGCCCCATAACACCGTAGAAACAGCCCCATAACACCGTAGAAACAGCCCCATAACACCGTAGAAACAGCCCCATAACACCGTAGAAACAGCCCCATAACACCGTAGAAACAGCCCCATAACACCGTAGAAACAGCAAACATAACACTGAAGAAACCACTCAAATATAATATTCCCGGGCGAGGCTTCGGAGATAAGCTTACGCGGACGTTCCATAAATCCATTAATGTAAGGAAGGAGATATACGACGGACACTGTCACTTTGTCTCAGTCAAAGTCTGGAGCAGCCATCTTGAAGAATTTATCAGGTGGACAGCAGCTGGATAGGGGGGTGGGGGATGAGGAGGAGGCTGGGATGGTCTCCTCTTGGGGGGGGATGGGATGAATGTGGGGGCATCTTCTTCGCCCGTGTCGCCCCCACATGCTCTCACCTCGTGGAAACCTGTGTGGCAGAATGCGTAGAGTGACACTTTGGTGGTTCGTGGAGTTGCGTAATTACGTCCACTAGACTGTGTGCGACACAGTGGTTGCCAGGATCAGGTTGGGTTAGCGTTACCTGTGGCAGGTGGCTACAGGTGACGGATCCCCCAATCCTGAGCACTCCAGTTGCAAACTCTGTGAGCAGGAACTGCGGCATGATCTCCCACACTACATCACCGAATGTCCAGTTATTAGACCTTTCAGACCCGTTGGCATGAGGTACCTGGAGCTTTGCAATTACTTTAATCACTTTCGTGGTTTTGAAGATATCCTCATATTGCACCCAAAATTTGCCAGTGCCGGCTACTAAATATATGGCCCTGTATGACTAACCATCCTGCGAGTTGGAGACTTTTAGAACAACTGCTACCTTATTCACTCTTGTGTTGATGATATCCTCATAATGCACCCGGAGTCTGTCAGTGCAGACTGACAGACTTATCACGAGCCTCTGTATGACTAACCATTCTGTGTGATGGGGATTTTTTAGCACCACGTAGCTAGCTTTTTGACACACTATACTCCCCTTCATATAGTCTAGGGTAGCTGCACAAATGCAGATGTATCTAAAATATTAATAAAAAAAAATTGCGTAATTTTTCGGAGGTCAGTTGAGGGAGGGAGGTGTGGAGGGTAGCTGGGAGGGAGGTTTGGAGGGTAGGTAGGAGGCAGATGTGGAGGACAGGTGTGGAAAGTATTTGAGAGGCAGGTGTAGTGGGTAGATGAAGGGGCAGGTGCAGAGGGTAGGTGGTAGACAGGTCTGGAGGGTAGGAGAAAGGTAAGTGCGGATGATAGGAGACAGTCAGGTGTGGAGGGTAGGGGAGAAACAGGTGTGGAAGGTAGAAGAGAAACCAGGTGTGGAGGGTAGAAGAGAAACCTGGTATGGAGGGTAGAAGAGAAACAAGTGTGGAGGATAGGAGAAAAGACAGGTATGGAGGATGGAAGGAAAGGGGGGAAGAAGAAGAAGGAGGAGGAGGAGGAAGGTAGGTGTAGGATAGTCCACTAGTGGACAGTAGCGATGGCGTCCCGATACGCGGCTGCGGGCCTGTGTGTCACCGAGCGACTGTTTATTTTGCGACGGGGGGGGGGGGGAG